GTAATCTGAACAACAGCGATCGGAACTGTCACTAACACTCAGAAGGGCTGAGACTGAGAGTAACAAGCATTATTAAACATCTAAAAAAAATTAAAAGGCATTATTCAGGCCTTATAAAAAGTAGGGATCCAGGAGGCTTAGATGACATCTAATGGAAACCAAAACAAAAGCATCTTATTTGCAACAGGCTAAACAGAGACTTTTATATGAATAAAGCTTCTTTCTGGAAGAGAAGCAGAATACACTTCCATTAATGTCCAGGCTCAATAACAGCTCATTAAACACCATGAACAACCAAGGTAACAAGGCATCTCAGAAAGAAAGAGAAAAATTTCCAGAAAATAAGCTTACAGACATAGAAATATGCAACTTAAATGACAGAGAATTCAGGATGGTACTTCTAAAAAAAACTCAATGAGATCCAAAATGAATCATATCAACAATTTCAGGAATTGACAAAACAACTAGATGAGCAGAATGAGTTCATTAGCAAAGAGATTAAAACCCTCAAAAAGAAGCAAAGATCTTCTGGGGGAAAAAGAAGACACATGGCAAGAGTCTGAAAATGCTTTCTAGTCTCTGCTCCTTTTCCTCACCTTTGATAATGCCCATTATTCTATGTTTCATCTTCTGATGATATCAGCTAGTCTTGTATTTCTCTTTCATTATTTTTCATTCTTTGGTTTCTCTTTTCTTCCTTGATTTATTTCTAGATTTCTTTCTTCGATACCACTGATCCTTTTCTCCATTTGGTGGACTCTATTTCCCAGGCTTGCTATTTCATTTTTCAACTCTTGCCATGTGTCTTCTTTTTCCCCCAGAAGATCTTTGCTTCTTTTTGAGGGTTTTAATCTCTTTGCTAATGAACTCATTCTGCTCATCTAGTTGTTTTGTCAATTCCTGAAATTGTTGATATGATTCATTTTGGATCTCATTGAGTTTTTTCAGAAGTACCATCCTGAATTCTCTGTCATTTAAGTTGCATATTTCTATGTCTGTAAGCTTATTTTCTG